CCCGTAAAATTTCATTTTTGGTCCATTATATTGGCCATTTTCCAGAAATGGTCCACTAATTTGGCGGACATCAAACTTGATACAATAAGTTGTAAAATTCATCAATTTTGGTTCATTAATCACTCGGGCTGGATAACGAGCCTACGTGGCGGACATCAAATTTGTCCACGTATTCGCCCGATAAACTGCCACGTAGGCTTATGAACTAAAAATGATGAATTTTATAACTTATTGTATCAAATTAGTGGACTACTTCTAAAAAATGACCAATATAATGGACCAAAAATGAAATTTTGCTTTCAATCCCCTATGACCGGTTTGGCTCATTCACAAACACTGTTAATGAATCCCAATTCAGATCGAAATCCCGATTCACTTGAGTCCTCTCTCTTTCATCCAGAAGAAGAAGAAAAATGTCACAGAGCCATTCGAAGAACAATAACGGTCTAGCGTTCTTCACGTACGACGAGAAGCCGAATCTTGGCTATGGCACGCAGAAGGAGAGACTTGGGCAGGACTCCTTCAAACCCTTTGATGTCTGCAGTCTCTGCTTGAAACCTTTTATCGAGCCCATTTCCCGTCTCAAGGGTCATGTTTTCTGTAAAGAGGTGCGTTCTCGAATGCCTGTTGGCGCAGAAGAAGGATATTCAAAGGTCCTTCCTCTTTGTTCTATTTTTTTTTTTTTCAGCTATTCCCTTTTTCTGACCGCGTTTTTATTTTAGGTTTTTGTAAGAATCCTTTTGTTTTCTTTCTCCGTTGATGATTTGTGTTGTTTTCATGTTTGTGTTTGCGTTGTGATGGGATTCTGCTGTTCAAGTGTTCGATTATATGTGTTTTTGCTGTTATTTTGGAAGTATGCTATTGAAGTATTTGAGTGTAGGCTATGTGAGTTTAGCTGCAACATTGGAGATGGTTTGGTGGCTAATCTTGAAATTTGGGGTTCGGAGAACTTATATTACAAGATTGTACTTACGGTTGATCTATAGTTAAGTTAACAACCTGTTTCGAAAAGATGGCCCTTCTCGGATAGTTTTAGTATGTTTATATCTCAAGCGTATATGTGTGTATATGAGAATCTACAGATTCTGAACAAAATAGCATAATGCATTGCCCTGAGACCTTAGATTCCGATGTTATTGCCGTGTGTGAATAAATAATTTAGCTATATACAATCACAAGGTTGTCTTGGAAACTCTTGTGTGTTGTGTTGTATATTTGTGGAGTTAAATTACCAGTCTTACCTTACCAGAAAGATTCATGAGAGGCTCATGATCATAAGCTGTTACAATTCAGAATTCTTGAGCTTAGTTGCCTTTTCGTTCGAAAAGAAAAAAGAAGTCGAGCAAAAAAGAAAATACAAATTGAGATCACATAATTTTTTCTATTTAGTTAATATTCTTAAGGTTCATTGCATTAAAAAAAAAAAAAAATTCATGAATGCATTTAACCAAAAGCATGCATGATACTTATATTTTTTCTTTCTACAATATTTAATGGAAAAAGAAGTTGTCATTCAGTAAAAATGATGACTAGGACTTTAAAAAAACATGCATTGTTCAAATGAAACGTAAACTCAGCTAACGTTGATGCAAATAAACAAATAAGTTTGAAAAATATTATCATATAAATATACAAAAATAATTATATGACCACTATAAGTCATATTAAAAAAATTATAAAATTATGATTAATTCATTATTTTGTTTGTTTATTATTTTATTTGTAAAAAGATGATAAAATTGATCAATTAGTATTAAATATTGTATATAATTAAAATATTTATTTATTTAGAAATGTAAAAGACTAAAACAGTAGACTATTATACACTTATTTCTTTAATAATACATGGATATAAATAAAGATTTATAGAGTGTATTCTCATTAACATTACATAGTTTATATGAAAATTTAGATGAAAAGCTACATATTTATTAAGTTTTAAGAAATAATATTTTTTAATATTTAGTTTTATATATAACCAGTAAGAATCCAACAGATTCTATGCTAGTTTCTAACATTTGCTTTCCGTTAAGCATAAAATTATCTTATATTATTTTGTAATTTATAAGTAATTTATGATAATTTATTTTATAATTGATTTAAGGTAATTTAGACAAAATTATATAAATATTTCAATTTAGGTTTTCCATGGGATTATAGAGTGTTAGATTATTTTCTAAAAGTTTTGATATTTATTAAGAAATACATAATAATATTTGGTGGGAAAAATTTTAATATGCCTATTTATAGACTTTCTTCTCTTTAGTAATATATACATTATGACTATATTTGATGCTTTGGTCATATGCTCTTGGCATTTTGTTAACTGTAGAAGCATAATTTTTTACTAGCTTTTCTGTGGCCAAATGAATTTGGTAATCTTTTTTAATTAGATTGTCCTTTATGGTAGCTGTCCATATTATAGAATTGGAAAGAACATGAAACGAGCTGGAAGTGGTTCTTGTTTTCTACAGGTAAATACTTTTTTTTTTTTTTTGTGGAGCGTTCATTCTGTCCTAAATTTCATTCACGTTAGCTAGTGCTATTTTTTTCTTTTTATTGTTTTTGTGGTTGGAGTTGCATGGTAGCCCGTCTTGTATCAAACGTATCTTGTCTCGATCAATTAGTCCATACATTTCTGATTTAGAGTAAGCTGCATATGAACATGATCTTGAGAGATGGTGAACTTTGGATTCCATTTTTGTTTCTAAAGGTGTGCTTAATTAGTTTCCACCAAGGTGGCAAAGTTTTGTTGTTAAATAGTTAATGGAGTTGAAAATTTCTTTCTAGTTGATGCTCTCATCTTTATCTGACATGCTTTTGCAGCGTTTTTGGCGGGGCCAATTACAAAATAAATGTTGGAACAAATTTGTGCTAATTATTGAAAATTCAGTTCTCTCTCAAAATTACAGAATTCCATTGACATTTCTTTATCTTGCACAAACCGTATCATAAAGAGGAGGTTGTTTCTTTGTACAACGACTCAGAAAGTGGTTTTGTAACTTTGAGCAAGTACTTGTAATTTTGAAATAACTGGCACTTTTTCTTAATAGATTAAAATTTCAGGGCCGATACTGCAATGACTCCTTTTTGGCATCCATTTCCTACTTCACTAAGTATTTTGAATTCTACATATAATCTGTGAAGCCAGTGAGTTTTTACCTTGAAAGAGCCATATGCTAATTCAGAATAATGTAGAACCCATTATGATTTACCTTTCTCCTAAAATTCTTCAGCATATATTGATTTACCTCATGCCTAATCTGCAGTTGCACTGCACTATTATGCATGAAACCAAAGGTTCAACTGTACCGCGCTGTAGTTCTTTTACTCACTATTTTCCTCGCCCGAGACCTAATTCACCTGGAAATGCAAAATGTACTTAAGAGATCGATCTCGGTTTCGAATTTTTACATGACTATTTTGATCATGCAGGGCGGTGATGATTCTTTTGACGTTTTTAAGCATGGAGAAAAGCCTTGAAAATCAACGGCACGTTTTACTGCATATCTGGTAGAGCATTCTTCTCCTTTGGTCTCACCCCTCAGGTTGATGGCCTTGTTTCAAGTTAATCTGCACAAGTGTATGTTGATCCTACGGTAATAAACCGGGCAATAGGGTTGAATTATTCAATTTTCATGCAGAGTGTATCAAAGAAAACGATAGTCTTTTCAGCTTTTCGAGCACGAAAGGAACTGTATCAAAGAAATGCATAGTAGATTAAGATTTCCTAGTCACATTAAAAGAGATCTTTCATTTCAAATAAAATATACTTGTTTGCCAGGTGCAAGCGAAATCACTGTTCTTTTCTTATTTCATCTTCCTTTTCTATGGAACATTCTTTCCCTGCCTCAAAACTCAAGGTATAAACATTCTCCTCTATATGTATTTTTTTTCTATTTCTGGCAATAAATAGAAATATATTATTTCTTTAACCTGTTTTTTGCTTTTCTCGTCTTTCCTCAACCGGAAACAACCTTAGCCATGCCCGCTTATAAAAGAGATGAGGCCGGCTCAGAAGTTCCTCCACCGACTAATCCAACACATTCTCAAACCGACGTACCAGAAACCGCCAAAGAGGAGTCTCAAAGTGACGCTCGTGCCCTCAGCCCGGTCCCACCTGCCCATGGTCCGGAGCTCGATGAGGTGTCCAAAAACAACCCGCCCGTTCAAGAAATCCCACCTGCCGATGGACCAGAAGTCGTCAAAGAGGATAATCAGAATGACGCTCCTGCCCTCGGCTCAACCGGAGAAATCTCACAGGCTGACCGACCGGAAACCGTGAAAGAGGTTATCCAAAATGACGCTCCTGCCCTCGGCTCGACTGGAGAAATCTCACGGGCTGACGGACCTGAAGCCGACAAAGAGAGCATCCAAAATGACGCTCCTGCCCTCGGCTCGACCGGAGAAGTCTCACGGGACGACGGACCGGAAGCTGACAAAGAGGATATCCAGAATGACGCTCCCGCCCTCGGCTTGACCGGTGAAACCTCACGGGCAGACGGACATGAAGCCGACAAAGAGGATATCCAAAATGACGCTCTTGTCCCCAGCTCGACCGAAGAAATCTCACGGGCCGACGCCGACAAAGAGGATATTCAAAATGACCCTCCTGCCCTCAGCTCAACCGGAGAAATCTCACGGGCGGACCGAGCGGAAACCGTCGGAGAGGATATCCAAAATGACGCACCCACCCTCGGCTCGACCGAAGAAATCTCCCGGCCCGACCGACCGGAAACCATCGAAGAGGATATCCAAAATGACGCTTCTGCCCTCGGTTCGACCGGAGAAATCTCACGGGCTGACCGACCGGAAACAGAGGATATCCAAAATGACGCTCCCGCCCTCGGCTCGACCGGAGAAATCTCACGGGCTGACCGACCGGAAACAGAGGATATCCAAAATGACGCTCCCGCCCTCGGCTCGATCGGAGAAATCTCACGGGCCGACGACTCCTCCCCCACCTCCAAACAACTCCACCCTCTCGGAAGCGATTCCGCACAAACCTCCGCCAAAACGGACGACGACCCGAAGACAACATATTCAGATCCGAAAACTCCAAGACGAGACGCGTTTTGGAAGAAGCTAGGAATTTTCTTCCCCAAATTCCGCAAACCATCACAACAGTCCAAACCGGACGATGATGAAAGCGCTGACGAATTGGGATCCCCTTCCAGGCTGGAACAGGCAATCGAGGAAGACATAAGCTTTACCAAAATGGGCGAGGAGATGCTCAAGACATACCAACAGAAGCTCGAGGAATTACGTGCTGATTGCGTGAAGCTCAAGGATGTGACAAACCCACAAATGTCCATGGACGATATCTCCAAGTTGAAGGATGATATCTCCAAGTTGAAGAAAGATCTCATCAAGCTGAGGCTTCAGATTCCTCTCAAGCACAGAAAAGCCGATGCCGAAGGTTATCTCAAGAATCTGAAGTTGGACTACATAGCCAAAGCGAGCACCAGTCAAGAAGTGCTCGAAAAGATGCAGCTGCACGGGAACTCCATTTTCGAAAGCAGCCCCGAGTTCAAAGATTTCGAGTCCCGTTACAACGAGCTCGAGAGCAAGCTGAAGCTTTGCTTGCTGTGCTTTTCGGTTTTCCCTGAAAAAACCGTCATCAAGAAGAGAATGATGGTGCTGTGGTGGATTGCCGAGGGCTATGCATCTGAAAGCAACGCTAACGACTACTTTCTCGAGCTAATCAACAAGGGTTTTATCGAGCCTGTGAACGAAAACAAAAGCCTGCACGTGGGTAGTTGCCGAATGCACCCTTTGTACCGATCGGCATTGGGAGTGCTCGCCAAGAGAACCGGGTTCTTGAACTTCGACCCTAAAGGGGAACCCACCCAGAATTTCGTGAGGTCATGCCAGGCGTGTTTGGTTGGGGAAGGACTGATTTCGTATGACGATCTGAAAAACGAGTCGATGAAAGTCGAGAATTTGGAGAAAGTTCATCTTCTGATCAACATCAATGAGGCTATCCTTGAGTTCAAAAAGGACTGGTTTGGGAAGATGAAAAATATCAACTTTCTGTACTTGGGAAGATGGAGCTCGTTGGACACGGACCACCGGGAAGTCGAGGACACCGTTTTTCTAAAAGATGAGCTGCAGAACATGAGTTCTTTGAAGTTTCTCAGCCTTCAGGGGGTCTCGAATGTGATCGATCTCCCTGATTCAGTTCTGAAGCTGGCGAACCTTGAAATTCTTGATATACGAGCTTGCCCCAACCTCGAGACGATCCCTAAGAGAATATCGCTGCTCAAGTGGTTGACTCACCTGGACATGTCCGAATGCTATTTGCTCGAGCAAATGCCGAAAGCTCTTTCGACCCTCAAGAACCTGAGAGTTCTTAAAGGGTTCGTCGTGGGCACAGAGCCAGGGAAAAACACGTGCACTCTAGACGATCTCAAGGAACTGGAAAAGCTGATCAAATTGTGCATCTACACTGGTTTGGAAAACTTCCCCGATGAGAAAAATGTCGAAGCTTTGGGAAACTTGACCGGCCTTCTCAAGCTGACGATTACATGGGGAGGGAGTGCTTTTAAAAATAATAAAGATGAAGTGAGGCTCGAGAGCAAGAATAGGGACACAATGATGAAAAAAGTGGGGCTTCCTCCAAATCTTGAGAAACTCGATCTCAGGTATTTTCCCACGTCGATTACTCCGTTTTGGCTGGAGCTTAAGAGTATGAAGGAACTGCAGAAACTGAGGAGGCTTTACATCAGGGCTGGGAGATTTTCCGATATTGGTCAGTATCAGGACAACTATGATTGGAACTGGCCGCTCGAGAAGGACACGTGGAAGGTGGAGGAGCTTCGTCTTAGGTATTTGCCTGAGATAGAGATGGAGTGGAGACAGTTACAGGAATTGTTTCCTAATTTGATTTACCTCGAGCAAGTTGGCTGCCCGAAGCTTACTTTGTTCCCCTGTGATGCAAATGGGGTGTGGATGAAGAAAAAAATTGAATAAAAAATTAAAATTAAATGCTTTATGAAGGCATTTTATTTTATTTTATTTTATTTTATTTTCCTTGGAGCTTGGCTCTTTATTTGTGCAGATGGCCAGAAATAAGACAATTGGGTGTGTGCTGAGTGTGATTTTCATTGGTTTGTTGTGTGGTTTGTGTTTGTTAGTTTATTCACTATTGTGTCTATTAATGTTTGTGGCTCTGTGTAAGTGCCTGCTGATATAAATTGGTTTCTCATAACATTACTATGTTCGGGGATTCCAAAATTGACATTGATTTGGGTGTTCCCTTTAAGATTATGATTCGGTAAATTGTCAACATCCAATCAAAAATAAATAGAAACATCTTTTTATTTATTTTTTTCCTTTCTTTTTTTTTTAAAAAAAATTTCATCATTTTCGCTGAACTTTGTTCTGTGACCTCCGCCGCTTAACGTTGTTATTCATCACTCAAACTTGGTCTTGGTGTACCCTCCACGCTTGCGGAGCTTGTACATTGCTCGTCGAGAACACTGATGAGCGTGGACGTACAACTCTCTGTTGCGCGTGTGCCCAACTCATACCCACCATTTCTTGTTCTCCCCTGCATCAACTCATACCCACCATTTCTTGTTCTCCCCTGCATCACGCTCACACATTCCAAACCGCATCCTGCAAATTATATATACTTCCATTATAATGAACAAAATGTGTTTAGCATTTCAGAAAAATAAAAGAGAAAAGAAAAACTCCCAATATGTGTATATGCATTTTTTACTTTGTTCAGATATTCACACGAGTAGATTGCCGCCTCTGAAGATGGAAGGTTCTGCGGAGTCAGCTCGTGAATCGAACACATAACTGCGGACTGCCGAGGCCGCAATTGTCGACTGCTTAAACGCTAAAAGCTTGAATTATGCATAATAATAATAAAAAAAAAAACATTAATTGAATATGAGAAAACATTTTTTTATCTATTCTAAACTATTAGATAAATTATAGGGAAACAGAATAGTATTATTACCTTGTTGTTGAGCACCCAAAATGATATGTGAAGCTTGAAATAGCACATATGAATAGCGTGGCGAACCGGCCAAGATTAGCTCGGTTTATGAACCGGAATTAGTCAAGATGACGGGTGCGAGGGTAGTTTGTCAGTAGCTCGGTTATGAGTAGCTCGGACCACGGCGCTGAGGTATCCAACTAACTCAGTAAAGTAAGATTTTTATTTATTTTAATTTATTATTTCACATAAGTTATTATATTTATTATGTTATTTTACTTTAATCACTTTTATACTTTATTATCTTATATTATTATTATTTTATTTTAATTAGTTTATTTTAATTTTATTTATTTTTAATTTAATTATTATTGTTATTTTTCAGTTCAAAATGTATATAATTAATTTATTTTAATAATTAAAATATATAAATTTATTTAGATTCAATTCTCGCTACTATATTAAATTTTATCTTTCTTTATTTTAATTTAATTTTTTCCTTATTTTATGTTAATTTAACTTATTATTATTTATTTAATATTAAATTTACCTATTATACTTTATTTTATTTATTTAATTCATTTTCTTATGATACTATAAATATTTTTATGTTCAATAGTTTACAACTGTACGTCTAGCTCAGTGGTAGTGGGAAAATCTTTACCCCGGGTTCGGATCCTACTTCCCACTCTTTACATAATTTTAGCTTTTGGTATAGAGGTAATTTTGTAATGCTGTAAAATAAAAAAAATAAACAATTTTCACAGCTAGAGTAGGTGTGGTACACACACCGTCAAGTTGACAGAAAATGAGAAAACCGTGCACCAGTTACTTAAATATAAAGGAGTGTAATGAATTTTTTAAAACACATTAAGAAAACACACACATTTCGTTAAACAAAATGAGGCGGAGGCGCAGCGTATTTTACCCATAACAACAACAACAATTATAACAGTAATAATAATAATAATAATAATAATTTGGATACCATTTCGGTAAAAGAAATCCCTCATTATACAAAACGAAGCACAAACCAAATTCACATGCAATGATAGAATAAACATAGCACTCCCTAAGACGAAATAATTAAGTTGTCCGAGGCTCAGATAACTATTCCAATCTCTCATTGATTATTTCCCAGATTAGCTCAGTGTAACGTAGCTCTCGACAAAAGGTAAAATGCCCGCTACAAAAGCTTTAGGCGCACCAGCAATGTTCTCCAACTTGCCGGTTGCATAATCAAAAAACATCATATCTTGCTTCACGTCTACAAAAATTAATTTATCACTCCCAACGAGGCTCCATTCATTACTCATAGAAATAGGGACGTCGAACGTGGACGCTAGTGACCACGCCCATCTGCCGTCATCCCACACCCAAACTTCAAAACTACATAAAGGATCAGCAGCAAGCGAGTGAACAATAGCACCAAGCGAACCACAAAATTCCACGAGCTTCAAATTACTAAATGTAAATCTATCGAGCTTGTCGCTCTGGGGGCCTGGGGCACATGAACACGATAGGAAACGAACTTCTCACTAGCAAAGTTGAAAGACATAATGAAACCAGGCTCTGATCTATTCAACCAGTAATAAGAACCGTTTATGTGAATGCCCGAACTTGGATTAGCGAAAGCAAGCATGTTGACTGGTTTCCAGGAATTAGTTGCAAGCGAATACAGTTCAGCCATTACAGGTCTCTGGTGGCCACGATTGACCTGATTAGTGTCCTTTCCCTTATGTCCGAGAAATCGTATCACCTTATAGTCTTCAGATGCCGAATCAAAACCAAAACCAAAATACATGCAGCTCGACTTCAAAATTCTGAAAAAATAAAAAAGTCAGCTAAATTGTTATTTAAACAGTCTGTGGTGAAGTAAAAACGATGTTTTTAGGTCCATCATACTAGCTTAAATTTTGATTACGGCTACCACGTTTATCATTCTCACTGGAACTCGTCACTATGCTCCATATGTGTGTTTTTATATACAAGTGGTAAAAAAATTAACAACTGGACTGCTGCAGTAAGTAACTTGTTGACGATTACAACCGCAAGCCTTCACCACGCGGGGGTCGGGCGGTGAGCCAATGACCATGCACCAAGAACTCAAGACTTCCACAGTGCTCTTGCCCTAGTGCTCCAGACTTAAAGTTAAGACCCAAGTAGGGACACTCTTGTCTTGCCTTAGGGTTAAGACCCAAAGCAACGTTGGGATATTATGATATTATGTGGTTTTTGTTTTTTCCTAAGGTGAGAATTGAAGTGAGAGTTGCGGCAAGTCTGGTACTCATCCACAACTCTCACCTAGTAGATCGGTACCATTCCACAACTCATGCAAAAACAACATGAGGCAATTGAGATTTCTAAAGACTTTTTAAAACTTTAGAAATCCTAGTATATTGAATTTAGATTTGTTAAGATTTGTTAAAACTTTAGAAATCCTAGTATATTGAATTTAGATTTGTTAAAATTTTTAAGACTTTAACAATCTTGAGCATCAATCGAGATTTTACAAAGTCTTATAAAATCTTAGGGTTGTATTAATTAAGATTTCTAAATATCTTGTAAGAGTTTAGAAATCTTGGTGCATCAAATTTAGATTTGTCAAGACTTTTCAAAGTCCTAAGGTATCCAATTGGAATTTTAAAAAAACCTTACAAAATCATGATATATTTACTAAGATTTGGTGGGATTTTCAAAGAAAAAACCTTATACAAAATCACATTCAAATCTCACCTCCATACTTAAGGCTGTGTATTTAATTAGGACTTCTAAAGACTTTTTAAGACTTTATAAATATTGGTATGTTCAATTTAGATTTGTTATGACTTTAAAAGACTTTTAATTCAATTGAGATTTTAAAAAGTCTTACAAAATCTTAATGTATTTAATTTATTTGAAACTAGGATTTGTCTCTAGACTTAGGATTTAACAAAATTTCTTCAAAATCTGGAAATCTTAACAAATCTCAATCTTAAAAAGTCTCGAAGTGTAACTTTAAATCCCAAATGAATACAACACCTTAGGATTTTACAGAATTTCTCCAAAATCTGAAAATTTTAAAAAGTCTAAAAATGTAACTTAAAAATTTCAACTGAATACACCATCTTAAGTATAACTTAATTGACAATAGGATTTGTTAAGACTTTGAAAATTTAGTAAGATATTTAAAGAAAAAACCTTATACAACTCAATTCCCACATCCAAAATTAGGAAAGTATATTCAATTGGAATTTCTAAAGACTTTTTAAGACTAAAAATTTTGGTGTAGTCAGTTTAGATTTGTTAATATTTTTTAAGATTTTTAAAAGTCTTAGGGTATTCAATTGAAATTTTAAATAGTCTTACAAAATTTTCTTAGGTATTTAACTTATTTGAGACTATGATTGTTAAGAATTTGTAAGATTTGGTTGGATTTTTAAAATAAAAATCCTTACACAGAAATCTCACCTCGAGACTTAAGTTTTCCCATAATTCCTCCAAAATCTAAAAATTTTAAAAAGTCTCAAATCTTAAAAAGCAAAATGTCACTTAAAATCTCAAATAAATAAAAAAACTTTAAGATTTCACATAATTTATTCAAAATCTAATAATCATAAAAAATCTAAAAAAAATAATTAAAATCCTAAGTGAATACACTCCAACATAATCCCAAATAAATAAAGAAGAAGCACTAGAATTTAATTGAGCCATTTTGATCGAGTCCATTATTTGCACGATGCCAGAAGAATTGTCAACATTGACTCTTCCAACTCCATTTGCAATGGACTCCCCAATAAAATAAAGTAAATTTAAAATTTCACATAATTTTCAAAAATCTTAAAAAGTTTCAAAATGTCGTTTAAAATCCAACCTGAATAGACTCCCACATAATGCCCCCACCATAGGTCTTAACCTAAGTACCTACCGACAAGACAAGGACTTACCACGGCAAGACAAGGACCTACCAGCAGCCAGCGCCCGGCAAGGCAAAAACCTACAGGGCAAATTATGTGAAAAATATCATCAGCATAACTAGGCA